AAAAACTTTGAAGAACCTATTCCTAGCATTAGTTCTTGGGCATGACACCAAATAGACCTAACCCTAACCCTAGCCCTGACCCTAAATTCACTTTAATTCAACTGGGATTTTTCCATGTATTTTACTGTCACCCACAAACTAATCTGAATGAAAAGCTGTCAACTTTTCTTTCCTTCAGAAACCCCGAAGAATCTATTCCTAATATTAGTTTTGGGCCATGACACCATGTTGACGTAACCGTAGCCCTAACCCTAAATTCATTTTAATTCAAATGGGATTTTTCCATGTATTTATTGAGGTCCATAAACAACTCATAACAAATGTATTTAGGGATAGGGTTAGGTCTAACTGGTGTCCTGCCACAAAACTAACGCTTGGAATAGATTGCTCAAGGATTTTGAAGAAAAGGAAAATTGACAGCTGTTTGTTCAGATTTGTTTGTGGACCACAGTAAAATACATGGGAAAATCCCACTTGAATTAAAATGAATTTAGGATAGGATTAGGGTTAGGTTTACTTGGTGTCAGGGCCCAAAATTAATGCTAGAAATAAATTCCTCAAGGTTTTTGAAGAAAAAGAAAGTTGACAGCTTTTCGTTCTGCGTTTTCTGTGGACCACAGTAAAATACATGGGAAAACCTCATTTGAATTAAAATGAATTTAGGGTTAGGGCTGCGGTTACGTCAACATGGTGTCATGGCCCAAAACTAATTTACTTGGTGTCCTGATCCAAAACTAATGCTAGGAATATATTTATTGAGGTTTCTGAAGTAAAGCCAAGTTGATAGCTTTTCATTTGGATTTGTTTGCGGACCACAGTAAAATACATGAGAAAATCCCACTGCCAATGAAAATCAATCTAGCGTTATGCTTAGGTCTATGGTTAGTTATGGTTGGAAGCTAATGCTAGAAACAGATTCCTAGTGGTTTTAGAATAAAAGCAAAATTGACAACTCTGCATTTGGAGTCGTTTGTGGGCCGCTGTAAAATATACGGGGAAAATCCCATTGCCAAGAAACGGAAACTTAGATCTTCTTGGCGTCCTGGCCAAACATTAATGCTAGGGATAGATCTTTGGAGGTTTTCCTAAGGAAAGCAACTTTGACAGGTTCTCTTTCCGAGGGTTTTTGGGGGAGGTGGGTGGGGACACTCCAAGGAAATACATGGGAAAATCCAATCTTTAGTTAAACTGTATTTAGGATTAGGGTTAAGGTTATGTCTACCTTGCCCTCTTTCGGGAAGGTGAACCACTCTCTCCCGCCCAGCCTCACCTCGCAGCGCCGGGCAAACGATGGCTATCAGGAGGGCCAGCAAGGCAACCACCGCAAGGCAACAGAGCACCGAACAGGTCCTGCTCGGCCACTTACTCCCCGCGGCTTCGGGACCCTGCCCAAAAAAATAAATCAATCAATTTCAATTCAAAGCCCTCCCTTAAACCCCGCCTGACATCTCAACCAGCCCCCTTTCACCTCTTCCGTAACTAACCGCAACAACTGCATGGCGTGTCTCCATGGCAGTGGAATATTCGCTTTTTAGAGGGCAGAAAGGATGGCTGAGGAAACCCTTAAAGAGAGCCCTTGAATAAGTCACACATACACACACACACCCAGGAAGAAACCTATCGCCGCGACAGCAGCAGCAGCGGAAGCAATAAAGCCCCGCTGGGTTTCCCGAACGCCGCCGCTCGCCTAGCCACGCCCACCGTCCCAGCTCGGAACTCCCAGGCTGCCCTGTTCCATTTAGGAAAACTCTGCGTAGGCGCGTGGCTCGGGCTCTACCTTCCCTTCGTCGCCACGTTCCTTTATTTTATTTTTTTTCCCGCCTTGTTTTACGCCCAGAAATGGTACCTCTTGGCTTCCGTAGCTCTCCGCCCATTAACCTCCGTCATTCGTAAGCGAGTTGCTTTCCCAGCGTCCTCCGCGGTGCGCGCGTCTCCTCTCTCTCTCTCTCTCTCTCTCTCTCTTTCCCCCTCTTTCCCCCTCCTCGCCTCCATTCCGGCTTCCCCCTCCCCCCCACGCACAGACACACACACACTCCGATCTTGGCCACTCGGCCGCCTTCGGCGAGAGGAGAAGCAGAAGCCCCTCCCCTACCGGCGTGAGGTTTTGTTCTTTCCTCCTCTTGGCCGCGTGCGCGGTGATCCCACCTCGCAGACTTCCGACCAGTAACCCCTCCTCCTCGCCCCCCCCCCCCACACGCTCGCGTCCCTGGTCCGGTCTCTCTTCCCTTCTTCTCTCTTCGGTTTCCGGCTAACGGTCTCCCCCCTCGGATCCCGGCGGAACTAAGCCGAGCTGGCTCGACGGAGCCAGGCCTGCGCCGGGGGAAAGCGATGTCAGGTGGAGACTCGGCGGCCGCCGCGGCCTCTCCTCAGCCGTTGCCCTTCTCGCTGCCCAAGCCTCCTCCCCTGATGCAGCTCAACCCCGGCGAAGGCGTGCGCCCTGTGGGAGCCCCCGGACCGGAACAGTCGCCGAAAAGCGCTCGCATGGGAGGCCGGCCGGACTGGCCTGCCGGGAAACCCGTCAGTCTTCTAGCACCTCTCCTTCCGCCGCGCGGGGAACCCGAACCGCTCCTTCCCTTCGGGCCGGCCTCTCGCCAGCCTCTCCGCGGGAGACTCCTCGGCAGGGGCGGCGGCGGCGGTGGCGGCGGGAACAGTGCGGGCAGCGGGAGCCTCCTCAACCCTGCGATGAGGCTGGGAGCCGGCGGGGGAGGAACCGGCGGCGGCGGTGGCGGCGGCGGCATGGGCCGAGAGTCTGTTATGGTAGGTGGACAGGCGATTTTTTTGGGGGGGGAGGGTGAGGGAAAGGTGGGGGTGGGAAGCGAAAGTTAAGTTTTACGCTTTTGCTTCGGTCCCAGATTTCATAACCGTGAAGTGTGTTTTTTTTTAAAAAAAAAACACCTCCCTCTTGGCCTCCTCATTTGAAGATGAGGGAGTCTCGGCATCCCGACTGAATTAGTCTTGACTCTTGTTGGCGCCTCTCTGCCTTGCCTGCAGTTTTCCCTCAGAGGGTGCATATAGGTGCACGTATTTGAACGGTAACGGTACCCTGGCGGTCTTCGGGCACCGGTTTTTAGACCGTTTGGCATCCAGCCGGAATGGGAGATTTAACCAATGCCTGAATGCTGGATGAACGTTGAACTTGTGGCTTCATATCTATGGAGATTCTCGGACATCCAGGTCGTGGTTGTCCTAGAGGTGCTTTTTTTTTTTTTTTCCCTCAAGACTTCCTGGTTTTCCTTTGAAGACGTTTTTTGCTTCTCATCCAAGAAGCTTCTTCAGCTCTTGAGGTGAAGGAGCTTCTTGGATGACAAGCGAAAGGTGCAAAAGCGCCTTGATAAATCAGTCTGTCAAATGGGCTTTCTTTTCCCCTGCATCTAGAAAGGAATACCGGAAAGGCCTGATATCTATGGAGTTCATATTTTTCATATGTTAAGTTCATATTTTTTCCACCATTCCAGAGAATGGCGAGACTTAATCTTTGCAGCAGTGCATACGGTAGGGAATCAACAGGAATAGGAATATTACATTATATTATCATCTCCCAATCAGCATTGTTGATTGTGTGCTGTCACGCTGGTTTCAACTTCTAGCAACCACATCCATGCCTTGATTGTCTGTTCCTAACTTGGTGTTTTCAGGTCTTCTTAGTGCTAGTGTTCCTGAGTCCATCCACCTTGTTGCTGGTCATCTTTTTCTCCTTCCTTCTAACTTTCCCAGCACTAGATCCTTTTCCAGAGAGATAAGTCTTCAGATTTGTTAGCTTTATAGTAATTGCATTATAAAGAGGATTTAACAAATTGAAACTATTTGGCATGATTATTTGGAACACCAAGCCAGAATTCTGAAGGACTACAGTTTAGGATGAATTTATTTATATTTTATTTATAAATATTTGTTTATTTTATTCATTTATTAATCCGAGCAATCCATTGACTTTCATTTTCCTCTTTCACTGTTCACCTGCAACTCCTGATTTTTCCTCTGCATTGTAAAGCACCAAAAAAAAAAATCCTGTAGTTTTTAATACTGCCTTAAAAGGGGACAGTAAGCCAAGAACCTTGATTTGAGTCATAAAACAAGTGAATCCATTTTATTTAGTGCTTTAGTTACAGGAGGAAAAGTATGAGGTTTCAGTGGCAAGTCAATATTCATTATTGTGGTTCCATGTGAATGTTACCAATATATGTGAAGCATTTGCACAGTTGTAACTTCATGTTTCATAAGTTGCCAAGTCTTATCACTATTTTCAAACAAAGTAGGTCAATGACAATATTATTTACAGGAATACTTAATAAAGTTTTTATCATTAGTGCTTAATTCCTAAGAAAAATTATACTACTTATACTCAAATCTGCCTAATATACATGTTATTTTCTCTTTGAAGACTTGCCGTCCAAGTCTTTCCTGTTTGAAGATTTGCTACCCAAATTATTTCTTGAAATAATTAAGAATGTAATGAAGATAAACTTTTCAGAGCAGATTATGAATATACATAGGTTAATATGTTTTATTCCTTTTACAATTCTAAAGATAGTTGAAAAAAATCAAGCCATTATTCTATCCCCCTCCCAAAATGTCATTAAAATTTTAAAATAGCAAAATAACATCTGCTTATCAAAAGTATTTCAATATGATTGCAGAACCTTAAAGATGAGTGACTTGAAATACATAGTTTCCTGTATGTGGCACTTGAAAAAACTGACTTGCAGATTACCCTAATAATGATTTGAGAAAATAATACAAGCAAAAGATGTTTTAGATGATCTTTAGTCAGAATTATGCACAAGGAGATAGCCAAATGCAATTGGTTAGGGTCTAAAAGTCATAAATCACTAACAAGCTAATGGCTAGGGTACCCGATAGAATTTATTTTTAGTAAAACTCATGTCTGCCTCAGTATTTGAACTGAACAGTCTATGTTAGCTGACGAATTCATATGTTTTAAATTCTATACAACTAAAACTTAAGAAACATGCAAGCAGTTTTCATTTTTCCCCATACTTTAACATTTACTTTTTAAATATATTTAAACCTATAAATTTAAATTAATTAAAGGTATAATTGCTTTAGATCTGACAGTGCAAATCTGGATGGCCATAAATAACGGCGTTTTATTTAAATTGTTTAGAGCTACCCAATTCAGTGGACTCTGTTGGAGGCAATGAACTGCTGTATGCATATTTCAGCTACCATTTTATGAGAAAACAGAATCAGATTTTACAACTCAGATTTTCAGAAGAATGTTTTCTGACATTCTCATCTGGCAGAAAATATATTTGAGACTGGATCATTTGAAATCTGATGTACAATGTTTCAATCACAGAATGTCTTGTTCAAACACAGAGCAGTAGTGTTTGAATGCAAAATAAACTGTGGTAACATTTTGAAGCATTTCAAAGTCAAAATAGATTGAAACCTTTTGTGCATCCCTAATACTTTCTATACTTTTTTTCTTGGAGACTTGTCATATGACAAATACAAATAATAATTGCAATAATAAAATAGCAAGTTTTTAAACTATCATGAGTTGTAATGTCCATAAAGGGAAAAAAATAAAACTTTTATATATTGACAATATTGGTGATATTGTAACAGTTTAAAACATCGTGCTCTTTGAGAGTCCTGATTAACCAGATTTGGAAGATAGCTTGTTTCTGTTTCACTTGTTTTCCTAAAATCCTCAACTGTGTTTTTCAGATGGGACATCCAGGCATGCCTCACTATCCACCCATGGGAATGCATCCTATGGGCCAAAGGCCGCCCAACATGCCTCCAGTATCTCATGGGATGATGCCTCAAATGATGCCTCCAATGGGAGGACCACAAATGGGACAGGTAAATGAGCTTCTGTGATTTTGTTTTATATATAATAATTTAAAATGGAACAGTACTGTAATTTCTATCTTTTAAAAACTTTCCATAGGTCATTAGGAATTGGCACTGATTCATATCAGTACAATCTTCTTAATCTCTTTTTCTCATTATTCCTGACTTAAATGATTTCAGAAGATTTTTTTTTCTTAAACAGATCAGTTACCTTTCTGCATAATATTTGGGATAGGAAAGTATGTTGGCCTTACATTCCTTACTATTAGGTTGAATCCTTCTCCACAATATATTTCTCCTGTATGTCAATAAGTAGTTTAGCCTTTTCAGATCTGGGCTTTTATTTTCACTTTTCGTAGTGTCCTTAGCTCTTTGTGTTCAGTGTGATATAGCAGAATTTTAAAAAATACCCTTTGCTTATCACTCTAGATAGTAATCCCAGTACTATACTGTCCATACTTAAACTAATTCAAACCTTGAATTTTAAAGTCACTCTTAGTACTAGTCCTGCACTAATATAAAAAGCTTTCATCTTTTTTTATGAATAAAGGCCATTTTGTCCTCATAGCATTAAAAATCGTGTAAGTCCTTTGCATTCTGGACAGCATCATAATTTGTTAGGTGCACATAGTTTAAACAAGGTTGAATGATGAATAGGAAACATGAAAGTAATTTGAGCAGTTCAGCTACTTATCTTATTACTCATTAATTGCAAAGCCCCTAATTATCATCCTATTTAACATAGCTGATTGAATTCCCTAGGCTATTGCTTTGTATTAAATTGTTG